ATAAAAATTCAAGTTTATTATTATTTTAAAATTATCAATAAATTGTAATGAGAATAAAAATGCATTATTAAGACGAATTTTGTATTGTTGATGATTAAATCAATGTTGGCGAAGAGATAAAAGGAGCATAAAAGCAAAACTTCTGGGTTTCAGTTCTCTGAACCCTTAGTTCACTTCAATAGTACACTGTTTACGGCACTACTGTTAGATTGCCGTACAAATATTGACTTCTTTATTTTAGGTGGAACAAGTACTGAAGAAGTACTAGAGAGGTACAAATCTCAAAAAGAAACCGACGAAAAACTGATGCACTTACGAACAAAAACAGAAGAAGAAAAGAAAAAATTAGAAAGAAAAATGGAATCATTAAACTCAAAATTGGATTCCTTCAAATATGCCGAAGCCAAAGAAGCTGAAAGGTAAAGAAAACGAAAATAACGACTCTGAATAATGTTTAAAACTTTTTAGGAAAACAGGTGAAATGGACTTACTTCAACAAAAAATCGAAGAAAATGTAAAAAAGTCGCAGGAATATTTGAAAATTCAGGCAAAGAAAGAGGAGGCAATTGAAAATTTGTCAGTGGAGTTGCAGAACCTGTATCTATGTATTAATCCCCTTGCTGAATTGGACACGGATCCTTTGGTTACTCTTCAAAAGATAAAGACTGATATTAAGAAAATTTTTGACAAAATTGGAGCAGAAGCCGAAGCAAAAGCTGAAGAAGCCGGTTCAGAAAAGGTAAGTTTAAGATCTATTACCACTATTTTAAATCATTATCAATTAAGTTATGAGAAGAAGACGCAAGATATAAAGTTTAAAGTAAAGAAATAGGGAAGGAATATTGATAGAAAAAAACAAAATGGACCATCAGATAGATACCGTCAGAACCATCAGGTAAAAGTTTAAGATAATACTACACAATAAAGGAAAATAAAAACTACAAAACATGAAGACAACATAGATAAGATAGCTGGGGCATGCAGCAGAAAAGAGCAAGAAAGTGACGCTTAAAGGCTGATTTATAAACTTTACGTTGGCGTTGGCGCTGGCGCTGACGTTCGCGTTTACAACATGGTCAAAATGGAAAACTCGTATATGTCCCATTTATAAACATCGTTCGCCGTTGGCGTCGGCGTTCGGTTCCGTTCAAGATGAACTAACTTTTATCTTTTGCCGTTGGCCGTTGTAGCACAGAATACACAAACCCTCTGTGGCTGTAGTCACGATCTCAGAACATAAAATCAAAACTGTATCTTTGTCATCGCAGCCAATAGCAATATCGAAAAAGTGACAAAGTTTGTCAAACAAATCAAACAAAATTATTTGTTTATGTTTCCATGTGTTTAATAAAGTGGAAAAATTTTGATAATAACAAGCCTTTCTTCCAACAGAAATTCCATCGGAGCGACAGTTTACATTTATTTTTGGTTTTAACATTTGCAGTAATTTTTCAAATACTGGAAACTGTATCCTGGTGTATTTAAAAAACTGCTGGGTTATGCCAGTTTTCATATTTTTATAATAATTAAAATTACCTCTTGTCTTTCTGTTCTGGTTTAATGGGCCTCAGTTTGTATCGACGTTGTTCTTTTATTTCGAAGGCTCAGTGCTGCTCGAATACAAAGTATCAATGCCACTGCACCTAACAAAGGCTGAGCATTTTCCATTGTATTAATTTTCAAGCAAAAATTAATAATACCAAATCAAAAATGTAAGGCAAGAAATTAATGATGTGATCTTTAACGCCAACGCCAACCGAAAGTTTATAAATGCAGTGTATGATAGCTAGCGCCAAGGTCAACGGCGAACGCCAGCGCCAACGCCAACGCAAAGTTTATAAATCAGCCTTAAGGGTACAATATTATTTTGTTGCATCAAAATGTGCTAAAACATAAAAAAAACGAAACCAAACAAAGACAGTGTAAGCGTTTACACGTTAAAATCTATCGGGACAAAGCTTCAGCTTAGATAGTGGTATAAATACTTACCATAATCCTATGCTTACATTTCCTAAGAATATTAAATTTTTAGATTTGGCAACAATACATTCAATCATTTTTTAGTATTGCCTGTTGTCTAGATTGCCTAGACACGTGTGTTATCATAGTTTTGGTCAGTTTTTTTCATGATACTATGTATAGTCATAGTATCATGAGTTTTTTGACGTTTCCAAATCTTATTTTATTAAGTGTTTGTCCAACCAGTGGCGGAGCCTGCCTTCGGAGGGGAATTTCCAATGAAACACCAACCAAAAGACATAAAAGGGGGAATTTCCCTATTCCCTCCCACGTATTGGCCTCTGGTACCAACAAAAAGTAAAAATATAATAAGCTATGAATATATAAAATACATGCAAATAAAAGCAATAAATATGCTGAGCTCTTTTTTCGCCATATCTTTGTGATCTATATATCTAAACTCGGTTCTCTATTGCCATGTCCCAACTGTCTAGTGAATTTAGTAATTATTTTTTTGTGAAGTTAGTTACTTTTTGACATACTAAAAGTGGCTGGAAATTACTAACAACCTAGCACACGTACTCATAGCCAATATTAATAGTAAACAAACTAAAATAGTAAATAAAATAGAAACTTTATGGATTACCGACAAGCAATATTTATTTATCTGCACCATATAATTATTAGTTATGTTAAATTATAACAAGTAAAATATATCTTTTAAATATATACTACCCAAAATTTGATGAGTTTAGTATGCACTTCCACTATTTAGGATAATTCTTCTTTTTATTCAAGAAAGAAGTTTGCAATATTTGCAATACTTGAGTTATTAATACTGAGAAGTAGAAATTGTTGTGTTGTAGGTTTCCGACAATGAATCTGTCCAAAATATGCCCGAGCTAAGCGAATGGAGTATAATAATCTTTTTTGGTTTACCAGGACGTTTAAATTCCAGTTTTTCCATCTAAAAACGCTTGGCAAGAGGTGACCTTACTTTTTATCCATCTTTTATTTTCAGTTACTTCTTTAAATATTCGTGATTGGTTTGCGATATTACGTTGAGAAGAAAAATATTGTGTGCGTAATTCTGTCACAATCATCACTTCTATAATAATTAATTATAATTACTAAACTAAACTAAAATCATTTTATAGGAAGGGGTTGCAGTAGTTGATCCAAATGATGAAAAATGGCTTCCTGCACCTTATGCTGGCCTAGTAAGAAGAACACCTTTACCACAAACTGGTGCTTCTCCTGCACCTCCACCTCCACCAGGTAATAAAACGTTTACAAAACCTTGCGTTTTTGTATTAACACTAAAAATTTTTATATTTCATAGGATCAGAGGACGAAGAAGAGGTTCCATCTAGAGGATACTTGAAGAGACAAGCCCAATTAGTGGTAGATGCAAAATCAAGACGGAAGAATGTAAGGTTGCAAGTACAACGCAGAAATTAAGACTATTGGCGAATATATTATTATCTACTATTTATATTTTTTCATGTGAGCACGTATTGAAAATAAACATAATAAAATAATTTGTAGAACTATATATGTTGTAAAAACGAATAAATAAAATCAATGAAGTTTTTCAATATATCAATTAATACATTTTTTCTATAATCACAGAATATAACAAAGAGACCATAGGCAACCAGTAAAACAGGTAGGTTTCAGAATTTATTTTACAGGAAAACTCTATAGTAACATTAGAAAGGTCAAGAAAGTATACGTTAGATGGCGCTAAGCAGATTAATTAAATTATTTTAAATAGGAAATTAAAAAAATCGTGTATTTTAATCTTAACATGTTTAGTTTTTGAAATTACCCTAAAATTTACCGAATGTTATTTTAGCAAATTCGGTAATTTTGACTTAAAGGAACGAATTGAATATTTAATAAGAACGAGATTAAAGAACATAATATCAAAACATAAATATAGAATCACAGCAATAGAAATGATCTCCAACAGTGGAAACTCGTTTTAAAACAGTAATATCGATTAAACTAAAAAGGATGCACTGCAATCCTTCCTTATTTACAATGGTTTATTTTTCTTCTGCTTGATTGGCTACTGAAGAGATCCATAAAGTTAAGAATACTTATCACTGCGCCTGTGCCGCGGTTCTTGAAGGTTACTATTCATTGCAATGGCCCATCTGATTTTTGGGTATCAACTCCATTTCGATGAACAAATAAACAGTGGGTCGATAGATTTTAATACCACGGAATTTACAACGTTGCCTAATTTTCGACGAAATAAATCAGGAAAATACAAAAGTTACTTTTTGGCCCGGCTGAACAACTGAACAGATTAGAGTTTTCAACAGACTGTTTGTGAGGTGAGTAACGATTTATATTATATATTATAGATTTGTAAACCATAAGTATTTAAAAGTTTTTATGTTGACAATCAATTGTAAAAATACGTTAAATTACAGAGTTGTTCACGAATAGCAAATTGTCATATTAGGTGTACCACAAGGTTGTATATTTTCCCTACTATTGTAACTTATATGTACGGATGTAAAACTGTTGCGAAACTTGTACAGTAAATAAGAAAAGAATAAATATAGCAATATGTGCATCTTACGATATACCTATTAGGTACAATAAATGACAAATATTGAATGGAAAAGACGTGTAAATGATGTAATTGGTTGAATGCGTGAGGTCACATAATTAATATGGTAATTAAAGCTCTCCTGTTCTTACATTATGTGGAAATCTTAGGAAAAAACACCTACAAAAGGAAAAATCGAAAGATACTACAAGAGGAATGAAATTTCAGAGTAAAAGACAGAAAAAACTTAAATTTTTGGCACTTTTGAAATACTCGTGGGATATTTAATCCATTAATAAATCAATTTGATTTATTTGGCATGAAAAGAAATGTTTTTGTATTGAATGAAAATGTTCTACACAATTATCAACACTTACAAAGAAATTTGGTTATACATGGCAACATTGAGAGTCTGTACCCCAGTTGAAGTTCGCAAACTGGATACTACCTTTCCCAAAAACATCAGTAATTCTTTGTGCTTTGTTTACCTGTCCACCATTTTCTATTTCTGTTATGTACGTTTGGTGACCTGCGAGCTGTGAGTAAAGACATTTGGAGTGATGGATGATCCTGGAAGAATGATGGGTCATACCGGGGGCGGTTTGATGGCTCCACAACCGTATGGGATGACCCCGCAGAACGAAGCTCCCGCTGGAAACGAAAATGAGCCCCGTAAACAGGACATCGGCGAGATTCTACAGCAAATCATGAACATTACCGATCAAAGTTTAGACGAAGCCCAAGCAAGGAAACATACTTTGAATTGCCATCGGATGAAACCAGCGTTATTTTCGGTGTTTATACATTTTATTTATTCTGTTGATTTTGTAGTGTAGTGTAGAGTAGTAGTTTTTGACATTTAGTTTCCGCACCTACTGTATTACACCAAAATGCCATCCTTTACGCTTAAAAAATTTTTGGACAGATAATTTGATTTCGGCAGTGATAGTTTGTACATTCTTTGATGCACAGCTTCTTAGGATAAAATATAATGTTGGTTTTTAAAAATTTTACTTGATGACAGTTGTTAATTTTTTCTGGAGGACATCATGGGTTTGCATTAGATTCTGTCATTAAAATATTGAGTTTTCTTGCAAATCCACACATGGAAGTCAAAATAATGTGTCTATTTTATTTTCAAAATAATTTTATTCAAATGGCAAATGCTAACTTGAGATGTTATTTATTTATAATCATGCTTTGAGGAGAGAAATCACTAATTTTTGGACTGGTTTGATGATGAATTTTGGTCTCTTTCATTCCTAGTTTTTTCGGATGTCTAGAATAATGTGTAAACTGGGGTTTAGAGGCCTTGTTTGTATTTAATGTGCCCTCAAATCTGAATTAATGAGACATTTGGGTCTGTATTTTGATATCCACCCATGGACCTCCAAAATGGCTATTTTAAACAAGTCTTTACTAAAGTTATACTTCTTTAAACAGGTTCTTGTCTTAAAATCAGCATAGCAAACTTTTTTTAAGTCAAATTTATCATGTTCTATCATTTTTTAGTAAAATGTCAAAATTGTACCTATCCAGACATCAGAATCACTAAAAGCATTGTTGATACCTTTTAGAAAATATATGTTATAAGTATTTTTTGATAAATTTACTTCATGAATTAATTGTGTCCAAGTTAGACAATATTAGATGACTTGTTGATCTACACACTTCATGCTATGAGTTTCGTTGTTAGAGAAATCAATTGTTACATTAAATGCCCTGTTTGATCTACAGGCTTTGTGCTACTAGTTTTTCTTTACTAGAGATATCAATTGTTACTGAATCTTGATTACATAGACTTCTACTTATTTTATAATAATGTAGCTGCCAGTTTTTTATTAAATAGGTTATGAATTATACTGAAAAAATTTAAAATTTTATATCTTTTTAATTCCACACTTTCAATTTTTTTAATGTATTGTTTTTGTTAGGTATTGTGTGAAATAAAAGAAAAGACAGTGTTGTCACTAAGAAATACTCAAGAAGAAGAACCACCAGATCCACAACTAATGAGACTAGACAACATGTTGATTGCAGAAGGAGTTGCAGGTCCTGAGAAGGGAGGAGGTGCCGGTGCTGCAGCTTCTGGATCAGCTGCTGCTCAAGCTGGACAACCCGACAATGCTATTGAACACTCAGATTATAGAGCTAAGTTGGCACAAATTAGACAAATTTACCATCAAGTATGTATACCATTTTTTAATAAGTGTGTAGTTCAGTTAATTTAACATCAAGATGGTTTAGGATTTGCAAAAATGACAAATGTAGTTGTTATATAGTTTTTTTTATTAAATAATGATTATTTTATTTTCTGTAATGAAACTGAGACATTCTTGTTCTTAATGTGCCCTATCAAGTCCCCTTGACGTTGGCGATTAACATGGCGAAACTGTCTCTGTCTCGAGCTATTCTAAAGAGTTGCTCAGCTTTTCTTATTCCTGTCCACTCCCTGATATTCTTCAACCAAGAGGCCTGCTTTCTACCAATTCCTCTGTGTCCTTCGATTTTACCCATCATAATAAGTTGAAGAATATTATATAGGTGTCCCCTTACTATGTGTCCAAAATATGCCATCTTTCTACATTTGATGTTATCAAGCAGCTCACGAGCAGCATTTGCTCTCTCAAGGACTGCCACATTTGTCAGCAGTTTGAGAGATGAGATACAACTGAGACATTACAAATAAATAAATCCATTATTTTAAATGTGAGTGTTGACTAGCACTGCTATGCTCTAGGCAAGGATACATTGTGATGGTCTCTGTTATGAATGTACCTTTATGTAGTGATATTCAAATATTTACAATCAATAAATAAAGAAATTACTTAAACAGTGTTAAACAGAAAAAATTACTACAGTGTTCAATTTTTTTAAGACCTACTGATGAAAATTAAGATTTAGAAGTTTCATCAATTTCAAGTTTCATCAATAAATAATTCTAAAAGCAAGGATCCTTACATTAAAAAACATTGCGAATGGACTAAGATATCAAATGTAGGTCAATTATTCCATGTGGTAGAAAATCCAGAAACCAGTCGATCCATTGTCAATATCAGATAATTCTGATATGGCACTTGAATAAGGTTTATTCTTACAATATTAATCCTGTATTTTTAAAGAAATTAGCATATTATAAGCGATCTAAAGTTTTTAATAGTAATTCACATGACATTTTAATGAAAAAATTAGAAAAATATGGGATATGTGCCATATGCATCGAGCAAAAAGACAAAAGAGGGGAATGTAAAGGTAGGGGGGGCAAAAATGTTGTTAGACAGGAAGTGCGATCTTTAGAGGCCACATTAAACAAGGAAAGAGAGTCTCACTCCTTGTTTGACATCAAATTTAGTTGGGTTATGTTATTGTTTGTCCCAAATGTCACATGAAATCTTATTTATATTGAAGTTTTTTAAACAATTGTGTCCGCATTTTAGACTATTTCCATTAATTAATTAATTAAAACTTTCTCGTCTAAGGACACATTCTGAAAATATTATATATTTACTGTTTAATAAGTGTCAGAAAATTTAAATTTGGCGCATTCGTCATTTCCGGATATGTCCGCCATCAGAGGCCACTTTTTTGGTCTCCTTTTCATAAGAATTAGATTCCCTCTTTTGTCTTTTTGCTCGATGGCCATATGTCATGTACCTAAATGATCTGCCAAATTATATAAATATAACAGACTGTTTCATTGATGCTGATAGAACACTAGATGAAACATAATAATTATTTTTATGGGAAAAATACGAAATCAGTAGTATTATAACTGTCATTTTGTAATTTTGAAATCATTTTGAAGATAAATGGACTTATTTACACATTTCCTTATACCGTAAATAATTTTCACATTGATATTAACCTTAAAATTTGTTTGCAGGAATTGGAGAAATACGAACAGGCTTGTAATGAATTTACAACTCACGTAATGAACCTACTTAGAGAACAGAGTCGCACTAGACCAATTACTCCTAAAGAAATAGAAAGGATGGTTCAGATCATTCACAAAAAATTCAGTTCTATTCAAATGCAGCTGAAGCAATCCACTTGTGAGGCTGTCATGATACTTAGGTAAGTTTATTATTTATTGGGTAATGTTTCATTTAGCTTAATGTTGTTTCTCTTACAGATCTAGGTTTTTGGATGCCAGAAGAAAGAGACGTAATTTTAGTAAACAAGCATCTGAAATTTTGAACGAATATTTCTATTCACATTTATCCAATCCTTATCCCAGTGAAGAAGCTAAGGAGGAACTTGCCAGGAAGTGTGGAATCACAGTCAGTCAGGTAAGTGAATTATTTATAATTATTTTAGAATATTATTAACAAATTTTTTGTATTTATAATACAGTGGTTCCAAACATTTTACAGACAAACAATGGTTTTATTAGGCTCAAGATGAACATTTTTATAACAGGTATTAAGAAAACAATGGAAATTATTTATTCAGTTGTGGATCCACAACAAACAAATGGTAAAACATACAGATTTTCATTAGCAGAATAATAACATCATCAGTCATCACTGCTCGACACCCTTTTGGTCTTGGCCTGTTCCGAATCTTCTCCATTCTGACTGTTTTGTGCTTTTTTCCTCAGTTTTTATTTTTGAGGTTATTATATCATTTTCTATTTGTTCTAAGTATCTCAGCTTCAGTCTTCCTCTTGTTCTTTTTCCTACTGGCATCTGTTTAAATATTTTGTTTGGTATTTTGCCTTCTTCCATTCTTTCTACATGTCCTATCCAATGTAGCCGTCCTATTTTAATGAATGTTATAATATCCGGATCTTGGTATATTTTGTATAGTTCGGAAGTTGTATCTTCTTCGCCAAATTCCGTTTTCTTTTGTGCCCTTATGTATGTGTCACAAGATTTTTCTTTCGAAGGTGGCTAACAATGTTTCCTCTCTTTTAGTGAGTGTCTAGGTTTCTGAGCCGTATGTGAGTACCTTAATTAACAATATAATTTGAATATAAAGGAACATAAAAGAACAAATCAGATATAAAAAGTACTAACCCACCTCAGAATATGATAAAACACACAAAGGTATGCCAAAATCCAAAGAGATGATGGCAGCTATTATAATGATGATGAGATACAACTTGGCTGCTGAGGTTAAATATTTCCTTAACTATTTCTTTCTTCTGCTCTGTTCACTTCATCTTTTTAGACTACTTAGAAATAGGTGGTATTCCTTTTCTGTCTTCTCTCAGAGTTCCATAGTACCCATAATTTCTGCTAACAATTTTGTAATGAGAGGTGTTCCTGAATAAAAGTTATCTGCAAATAGCCAGCTTTATTTGTTATACTATTAGCTAACTTGAGAACAACTGCTTCAGAGCGTACCAGTTTTACTTGTAGATTTTTTTTTATAAATACTGAAATTGGACACATAGTCTTTAGTTGAATATGGTTTCACTATATTTATGAGTCTTGTTAGATATGGACTCTTTCTCTGAAATGTGCCATATACTCATCTATAAAAATATGTTACCAGGCATCAGTGTTGTTTAAAAATTTTGAATTGGCTTCATAACTAAATTTTGATAATATTAATCAATTAGTTATATAAGAAGTCTCATTATTTTTAAAATGTAGAAGTTTCAAGAAAATCAAAAAGATGTCTTGATTTAAAAGCTTATATGCAGTCTATTTATTATAAAATATATCATCTTTAGACCAATAGAAAATGATTTGTAGTACCTTATTGAGACCCATTATTATTAGTGCTTAGTAAGGCTTTTATTTAAGTTTTGTTTCTTTCTATTCATAAATTTTGACAGGATTTTCTTGAGTGCTTTGTACTTAATTGTTGAACAGCATGATTGTTGGTTTTATTAACAATAATATCCAATATTTCAATCTGTTATGAAAAAATTTAAAATTTCTAATGGTTTCTAGGTGCCCTAGGTAGATAGGTGCCCTATCTAATTAGTGGATGTTGGCGACAATTCTGGCATACTCCTCTCTAATAGAAGATTACTAATAGTTTGTCCATTGATTTTGATTCCATCTTCAATGTCACTTAATGCTCACTTGATTCATATAAAGGTTCTTTATGATTGTAAGGTCATTTTCATCTATCGAATGTTCCTGGAGCAATCTTAATAATTCTGAATGATTAACACAATTAAATGCTTTCTGGTAATCTATAAAGCATATGAAAGCATCTTTTTGCTGATATCTGCATTTCTGAAGTAGGATAGTTAACCTATAAAGCCCTTATCTTGTGCGAAATCCTTGTCTGAAACCAAACTGTGTGAGCCTAATGTCTCTTTCACATCTATTGTATATTCTTGTGTGAATTATCTTTAAGAAGAGTTTTAGGACCTGGCTCAATAAGCTGATCATTCGGAATGGGTCACAACTATTAGCGTTTGCCTTTTTTGGGAATGGTATAAAGGCTGATTGAAACCAATCCTATGGTATTTGACCAGACCCATAAATGTCATTAAAAAGATCTACCAAGGCGTCTATATTGTCTTCACTCAACATTGTTAGAACTTCTATGTATATGTCTCATGGTGCTTTTCCCCATTCGCTCTGTTTGATTGCCCTTACAACTTCTGACTACAATATTTTGGGACAGGGTTCACTTTTATATTTACTTTCAGAGTTTTTTCTAGTGTTGTCTGAGTATAGTTGCTGTGTGTAGTTTCTCAAATGTTGAAGTAGATCCTTGGGATCAGTAATTAATTTATTGTCCTTCACAATACTGTTAAAACTGCAAGGTTTTGTATGACCTGTCACTTCTTTAATGAATTAATGTAGTTAAAGTGGTCATGTTTTTGTTCCAATTCCTGTTTTGCTTTGTTTTTTTAGTTTTCCAAGGAGTTCCTACCCACTACCCAAATATTTTACATTACATATTTACATTTTACATTTATATTTTATATTACAGGTATCAAATTGGTTTGGTAACAAGCGGATCCGCTACAAAAAGAACATCGGCAAGGCACAGGAAGAGGCAAATTTATACGCAGCTAAAAAGGCGGCGGGGGCTTCGCCGTACAGCGGCACGCCGACTCCCATGATGTCGCCGGCGCCGCCGCAAGACTCGATGGGATACTCCATGGGCTCCGCGTACGATCAGAGCTCCGCATACGACGCCAGTAGTTGCGGATACGATCCCATGCACGCTCAAGAACTATCTCCGTAATTATACGATTACCGTATACGGTTCAGGACGTTTTCTGGGACATTCGAAAATAGTAAGAGCTAAAAGTATTGTTTCCATTTCGATAAACGGGTTATATGTGAAAACGCGAGAGCTAAAAACTGTTAGCTCATAGGTCAAGAACAGTTCAATGTTCCAAAAAACACCCTCAATTGATATTTCGCTCTTTCAAGATACATAAGTATACTAAAGCTTGTATACCAATTTCAATGTATACTACTTTTTGTATTTTGTGCAATGTCTGTGTATTTATCAACTTGTGGCAGCTACCGATTATTTTTTTTAGGTTACGCACACTTTTCCTACACTTTTGTGTAGTGTTTCTGTTATATACATTTTTATTTTTAAAATATACATCCTCTATAACGTTCGAGATGGTTCTTAAAGCAAATGTGACTGCCTAGAGCTTTTACAACATTAGTACATGAACAGTAATTTAGTATAAAGATTTTTTCAATGAAGAATTGGTTACCTCCAAAGCCAGAATGTAATGAGGTTGATCTGGAACTGATTATGGACTTTTTTGCAGAAACTGTCAATTTATCGTTTCTACAGCACCTTTTCTTTGACAAATTACATTCTACTAGTTCCTTGATAGTTAATAATAAATCACACAATGATTCTACTAATATTTTCATCATGCATATATGTTTGTAAGTTTCCTCTGGCCTTTCCCATACAAATTCAACTGAAGTACCCTTTAAAATAACATTAGCGACAAATGTATTGTTAATAATTCGACTGGGATGAGGAGGGGAGGATACAAATGAGGAATCTAGACACCAAGGTTACAAGTGACTAAATATTGATAATGAGAAAAAGAAGGTATAACTCTCTTTTAAAATTATAAGTAATTGTTTTATACACATGAAACGCTTTTTGAAATAGCTTAGGATTGTTACATAAGCTGTAGAATAAGTTTTAGATCTTGTCTTTTTGCCCTTATTTTAGAATCCTTGATAAGGTGATAAGAGTGATCGCTTGTACCCCTTGGCTTCCAAAAAAAGAACCAGATATTGACTGAATCCTTTGGGTTTGTTTTGTATATGAATATTTGGATTGAGTAAAAAATACAACTGTGGTGAAAATAATGTAATTTAACACAAAATCATTAACATAATGAGTTACAAAATTGTTTACATCAGTTTAATACCACCATTCCTGAAGTATAACTAATCAGTTTCTGACTCACTATCAAAAATGTTTCCTGGCTCTTCGGCATCTGGGGAACAATAGCATTCTGGTTAACTTCGACAGGAACATTGTTAGGGTCATTAGTGTATTGTAAGGTGTTGAAGAAGTCATGGTAGATAATGGTAACATATGGCAAAAGTGATTGTAAGTTGTCAAATTTAAGTTTCTTGATTTTTGGCTTGTCTCCTGTTGCTACTAATAACAGGAGTTTGTTGAGAGGTCGACCATCTCTTGAGGACTTCATGTTCAGCTGGTAACAGGTAGGAAGGTTGATGCTTTCTGTGTAAAACAGTGTGTATGGATATGCTTTCTCAAAATGCATACCTAAAGTTCTAGTACATCTAAAGACTCAAAGTCATCATCCTCCATTTGCGTCACCATGAACTTCCTACTGTGTTAACTGGTGTCCGATTCAAGTCGCTTCGCCTGAAAGGGTACTTAGTGTTCTAGAATTTAAAAAGAGTTGTCTCGCTCCAAAAACAAATCGTTCCTGTTCTAGAACCATTCGTGTAAATGAAAACTACAAATAAAAAAGCATACAGGAGAATATTATGAACCTTAAGACCCGTCACAAACGTTATAGATGACCTTCGAGAAGGTTGTATACAAATGTTTGGTACAAGCATTGCAAATAAAAGTATGCATTATGTTGCAAGTTATTGTTTATTTTTATAAGTTTTTAGTCCTAAACGAAAAATGATTGCTATTGATTGTCTGTTGAACGGGAATAGCGATTGAATACTTAGGCAGCAATACCACAAGTAAAAATAAACCAAATTAGACAATCTAAAAGGATACAGTACGTTACTAGTGACGTCATACTGAAATTTTTTAAGGTTAGGTCCAAGTATTGATTCAAACATAATTCAAAACCATAGACATATAATAAAATGTTATATTATATGCCCATGTTCAAAACAAACCAATCGAGATCTAAACTCAAAGATTTCAGGACGTGACGTCACCTGTAACGTGTCGTATCGATAAAAAAAAATTGAAATTGCTTAATAAAAAGCTGTATTTATTTTTTAATATTAGGACCGACAGGAGAAATGAAGAATCAATTTACTTTTTTATATGTATACTACTGACTAATAAAAAGTATTTTTGTCTTCCTTCATCCGCTACGAATGCCAGTGATAAATATACGAAATAGACAAATACCGAAGGAAAATCAAAAATGACTTGATGTGCTTAAATTGGTTTCTTCTCTTCTCTTGCGGTTTTGCAATTCGTATCTGTTTTCGGATGCGTATTTTAAATTGTGTTACAGTATTTAGTGGTCACCCAGTATATTTTTTATGAGGATATTCCTAATGTGGAGTTGGTAATTGGACAGACTAGAAATTTTATGTCGTGAGTTTTTAACAATGATTTACCTTAAGGCAAAAAATCTGTATTTTACATTAGAAAATAAAGGATCTTAAATAAGTTTTCATTTGTTTTGTAGTTTACTTTTATTTCCTTACCCAATAATCGACAAAAATATTTTTGTAAGAAACGTGCGGATTTGGTGAGATTTACTGAAATCGTTTTAGATCTGGCAACAGCGCCGACTGTGATCAAAACTTTTGATGCAAAATCTGAATGATATGCATTCTCTACGGATTCCGTGACATTTACTGAAATTGTTTTAGATCTGGCAACAGCGCCGACTATGATCAAAGCTTTTAAGGGAAAAAGATATGCATCTAGATGCTATCCTAAAACTAGAAAGACAATAACACCCCAGGAATCGATGAAATATGTCCTGAAATGTATAAAAAAGGTGGTGATCAACTTTTTGCAGCAATCCTTAAATTAATAGTAGTAATATGGCTGAATGAATTGGTACAAGAAGAGTGGCTAAAGGGAATAATATGTCCGTTGCATAAAAAGGGTGACCAACTGGAGTGTAAGTATAGAGGCATTACTCTGTTAGTATCTGCGTATAAAATCTTCGGCAATGTATTGTTTGAAAGACAAACATTGTCCAAAGCATATTGTTGGTTAATATCAATGCGGATTTACTGCTGGAAAGTCAACTAGACATCAAATTCAAGCACATAGGCAGATTCTAGAAAAGTCAGTAGAATATAACATAGATACACACTATTTTTCATCGACTTCAAAGCAGCCTATGACAGTGTGAAAAGAACTGCATTATATAATGCAATGATAGACTTTGGGATCCTACCTAAGTTAGTTAAGTTGGCCCAATTAACAATCAAAACGCTCATGCGTTAGAATTGAAGAAGAAAACTATGTTCGTAATGAAGACATTAATAATGGTCTAAGACAGGTGGACGCACTGGCGTGTCTTCTCTTTAATATTGCCTTGGAAAAGGCAGTCAGACAATTAAATATTAGAATGAATGAAACTATTTTTAATACATCGACGCAAATTCTTGCATTCACTGACGATATAGTTATAGTGAGCAGAAGTATGAGAGAATGGTGCAGTGTTTTACAAGCTTTGTGGACGCGGCAAGTGAATTAGGACTAATGGTAAACGAGGAAAAAACCAAATATATGTTGGTTTCTAAAATCCTCGAAATATCCAACCAAGCCAAGATCAAAGCCTCAGACATTAAGAAAGAACATCAGTTACATCTCATACCTAGAGAGAAGTCGTCAATATGTCCAAATCTTTACGGCCTACCCAAGGTACATACACTTCATCTAATTTACATATCGATGCACGTCATAGCCCGTGACGTCACATGGTACCAACACGAAATAACTTTTTAGAACAAAATGAGTGTGTTTTATTTCAAAAATGTCACGTAAAAATTTAAATAGTCGTTGTAAAGAGATGGTAATACTTTTGCAATAATTATGTGATCTATTTGATTTAAAATGGAGTCAGGATTTTTTTATACTTTGGCAACTATGTCAACTTCGATCTCTGACGTAGATAATGACGTGCATCGGTATGTAAATTAGATGAAGTATAAGGCAGGATTACCATTGTGACCAACAGTTAGTTCTATCGGATTTCCTCTCCAACCACTGGCAAAATTTCAGGCTGAGCTGCTACAACCATATGCAGAATAAACGGATTCTTACGTCAAGAATTCAAGCCACTTAGTCAGCTTCGATGTGGTTTCACTTTTTACGAATGTTCCTATAGATGAATCAATAGAAATTATCAGAAAGTATCCAATACCACAGGATACTCTAAATCTAACAAAGCACTGCTTAAATAACACATACTTCATCTATAAGGAGCAAATATATATAAAGAAGTTGAAGGAGCACCGATGAGTTTACCACTGTCACAAATGTACAGCCGTACACAAATGTTTGTGTACAGCCGTACACAAATCCAAACTTTGGCTTAGATACGTGGATGATACTTTTATAATCTGAACACATGGAGAAGAAAAACTAAAGGTATTTTTAGAACACATCAATAATATAAACCAAAAAAATCTAGTTTACTATGGAACTGGAAGAAAACAAACAACGGCCATTTTTAGATGTGTTAATAATAAAGAAGGAAGACGGGCACATAGGACACAGTATACCGAAAACCCACACATACCGACAGATACCTACATGCCGATTCACATCACCTTCTTCTTAGGGTGACTATCCGTTCTGAACGTTGGTGATCATTCACATCACCATCCTACATAAGTACATTCAGTCATTGAAACCCTAATGACACGATCCGAAAAACTAACAGATGAAGAACATAAAAATAAAGAAATGCATAATGTGAAAACAGCGCTAAGAAAAAACGGCTTAGAGCTCCGGGGGTAGATGGTGTAGTCATTGAGACAATTAAACTAGGAGGTCCACGTTTGATGTCCCGAATCCAAACACTTTTTAATCTATGTCTGCATAGTGAAAACATTCCAAGTAAATGGAAGAATTCGGTTACAATCCTCCTCCACAAAAAAGGGGATAAATCAGATCTCGAAAACTATAGGCCAATTAGTTTGCTTAACCACCTATACAAGCTCTTTACTCGAATACTGACAAACAGATTAGAAGCAAAACTCGATTTCTATCAATCAAAAGAACATGCAGGATTTCGTGCGGGACACGGAACAAACGTTTGCCGTTTGCAATGCCTTAAAACTCTAGTTGAAAAGTCTATCGAATATAACAGACCCCTTGCTCTTATCTTTGTCGACTTTCACAAAGCATTTGACACAGTCGAAACAGTTGCTATCTTAAAAGCACTATCAGAATGCAGAATAGATCACAGGTATGCAAATATTATTCGAAATATATACGAAAATGCGACAACAACCGTTAACCTCCATTGCGTGACTGAGAAGAGAAGATAAAAATTGGCAGAGGGGTGCGGCAGGGAGATACCTTGTCGCCAAAACTATTTATAACAGTTATGGAGTACGCATTTAAACGGCTAGAGTGGAAATCAAAGGGTATTAGCATCGATGGAAAGATATTTAATCATCTCAGATATGCCGATGATATTGTTCTCATAACAGACAACTTAGGAGAAGCCAGAGTTATGCTACAACAATTACAGCAAGTAACCCAGAAAGTCGGTTTAAAAATAAACTATGGAAAAACAAAAATGGTGACCAATCTCGTTTCAATGAGCTAATAGAAATCGAAAAGTCGCCCATAGAACTTGTGGAAAAATATGTGTATTTGGGTCACGAAATAAGGTTAACGCGAGTTAACCAAACATGCTAGCTACTTAGAAGAATAGGTCTGGGTTGGGCTGCATTTGGAAAAATGAGAGACGCATTTAAAACAAATATACCGATTCATTTAAAAAGAAAAGCTTTTAACCAGTGCGTTCTACCAGTCCTCACATACGGAGCAGAAACCTTAACTCTCGCAAAAACATCAGCCGAAAAATTGAGAAGGACACAACGAAGACATTATCGAACATATTACAAGGCAAAAATGGAGATAGGTAGGACATGTTGCAAGAATGAAAGACGACAGTTAAACAAAACAATTGCTTGAGTGGAGACCACGGGCTGACAAGCGAAGCCGAGGAAGACCCCCAACGCGAGGGACCGACGACCTCAAAAGAATCGTGACCAATTGGATAGCAGAGGCGCAGAAGAGAAGCAGATGGAAAAATCTAGAGAAAGATGGACATTCAACAATGGACAACTCAGGGCTGATTAATGATGATGATGATTGTCTGATGTTGCCCCATACCCTTTTGTCTGAAGGTGCCCCACTCGTTGTGTCCAGACTAAATGTAAAATATAACCTAAGAGTGCCATCAGTAACAAATGTGAATAGTACAGGTTATACAGCAATAAATGGACTTAAAACTGGTAGCAATGTTAATTATCTTAAGTCTTATCTTCTAATAAAAACTCATCTTATCTTCAATCCAAAAATTTGACTTTCAGCCCCCAAAAACTAACTTTTCACTTTATGACATGAACCCTTTACTGCACTGTTCTACACACTGAACTACAATAGTGTGAGTAGTAATGGAATGTTTTGATGTCAGTGTTGCCAACCCCAGTCCTTAAATTTACCCACAATATCAATGTCTGAAGGAGCTCCCTTCTCCCCTAATCCACCCCAAAGAAATATTGCTACTTGCCGGTTGACATTGTCATCTTCTAATGGCTTGGTGATGATGATGAATTTCTTTCTTATCATTATTTAGCTCCCGTCCGAGAACTTTTAAGTCATTACTTCATTTTAATGTTAATATATTTAAAGTTATAGTTAAAATCTACAATTAAAAGTTTTTCTAACATAAAATGTTTGCCTGTGAAGCAAAATAAAATGAAGGTCATCAGACCCTCCTCGCCTACGCCTATGTTCGCTAAGGAATGTAATGTATTGCTTGAATCACCTCTCCGTATTGCCCACCGCGGAGCCAAGACCGTGAAAGTCTACCTAAATGTACTGTTAACTCATTAAATAGTATTTTCACAGACCCGCGCTGATTCGCTTCACATACCCGCATGTTCTTTCCAACTTTCTTCAAACCATGTCCGACACTGCAGGTATTTATGAAAAACAATAGTTTTCTGTGCATTATTTTTCTTTACATCAAATCTTTTGTAGTTACTAGAGAAGATATTCCGTTGAAAAAAGGTAAAACCAACAGGAAGTGGTATACCTGTGGCGACGAGGATTGTATCAGCGGATCAAAATATGTAAATATTGCGTTCGGGACTCTTACAGTCATTATCACGTTAGCTTTAATTATTCAAATTAATTACGGCGATTACCAGGTAAGTACTCAATTAGTATTAAGGATTTTATAATTATTTAATATGTTTCAAGATCAAATCTATTAACTAACAAGTGCGAAATACTTTTATATTATTTCCGAGTAGTTTTGAACGTCTCTTTATAAATTTCACTATTTTTTATGGTTTTTCTCTACTATGCCTTCCTGGGACTTGTCCCTGACCTATCTTTCGGACAGCGTAATTATTTTTTTTTTGCTTCTACCGTAACCTAAGCAATTAAGCATCTTAACTGATCCTCTATCATTTTTATATTATACACCGTTTGGAAGTTATCGATGTTCAGAGTGATTCAAACTTATTTTCATCTGCTGCATTGTTGAGGTTTCTACCGTATCCTAAGCAATTAACCTTTTAAATGCCGCCACTAGATATGATTAAAATTTTGACTTGCAATTGAGGTATGGTATCATTGGAGATCTATGTATGGATAATATTTTGGTTTTATATAAAAAAAATCACACATTTCATTTTTATTATATGTTCCCAAAATGGGAACGTTGGCATATGTTCCAAGAGTAAAAAACATCAATTTTTTGACATGTTTGTTATAAGAACGTTTATTTTTAATTTGGTACATAGAAATCATTATTTGCTATGGTACGTAATGAAGCACAGCTTATGCATCCTCTTGTCACATTTTCTATAACGCAGGCGCGTATTCTTTGGCAAAAAATACATCTACCTTGAGTATCGGTTGTCAGTATATGATTGACTCCGTCATACCTGATGTCCTGGATAACGGACGCCGCCGGCCACCCAATCTTTGTCGAGGCACTATTTCTGCCTTCAGAAGAGCCTAGTGTCACTTGTCGACTAAAAGTTAGATGATAAATGTTTTCCTTTGGATTCCACCACCATTTTTTTGACCGCAATCTGGGCCGGTAGGTGCTCAACATTCGATCCAGAAGATCAACTCCCCCCATTCCTTCGTTATATTTTCTTATTAGGTCCGGCTGAGGCACATCTTTCCTACTTTCATGTTTCACCCTTCGTTTCGCTGTGTGGACTGGTTTGACTGTGAAATGATTACTTGCGACTGTAAAAACCACGTTGTTTTTTTCTGTACGGTTCTCGCGAATTGCTCCTCAAGCTCGAACTCCTTCCTTTACCAAATCTGTCAATAATTTGTGACTTGTGAAAAAATGATCAAAGAACACTAAATGTTGTTGAGGATTTTGAACAATGGCAAGGAGGTAATTAACAACACGCGTTCCCAGTGGCGCTGAACAATTTTCTGATTTCCCACAATAGATTTGAGCATAGATAACCGTCTACTCCACAAAACATCCATAACTTGAACCCGAATCTTATAGGTTTATTTTTTATAAACATTTTTACAGAATGATGTCCATGATATGGAACCATTTCTTCATCTATGCTTAATAATTCGTGAAATAATCCAAATTGTTGAAATTGCGCTAGAAGCTTGTCATACAAAGGTTGGACCTTAGCTACTTTAGACGGAGTGAGGTTCTGATTGTCGCATGTATGTAAGTATTTTTTGATAGAGCGAAATGTTTCTCTGCTCATAGTTTTTCCAAATAATGGAGCAGACAGATCTTCTGCCGTAGACCAGTAATCGTTCTCGCTGGGAAGAGAGTGATAGCCACTGAGTAGCAATAATCCATGAAATTGATTCAGTTCTTGATCAGTAATTTGAAAGCATGGATTATTCTTTTCTCGATGAGCGTACAATAATATCTGTTATAAGATAAATCCCATAATATCCGGTGTAAAAAACAGGCCAAAGATTTCAAAAGGTGACTTTCCAAGGTGCTCCTCTCCTACTTTTCTAGGCGCGGCTGCTGTAGTTTGAATATGTACACTCTCTTGCTTTTTCCATGTAATTTCTTTATTAGAAAAATTCTTACCAGTTCGTTTTGCTTTGGAAGGTCCTGGTTCTTCTGTGTTACTGAAACAGTCATTATCTGATTCGTGCACCTCTACTTCTCCAGAAACTTCCTTGGGTAGACCTGGATTGTCTAATAGTAGTTCATCATTTCCCCCATCCTCGTCGCTTTCATTGGCTTTGTCTCCAGAATCAGGTGGCAGAAGAACTATGTCAGCTGTTCCTTGTGAGGAAGAAGCCAATGAATCAATAGTCTCACTCAGAAATCTACTACTACTTGGCTACTATCACAGCAATCTTTACTTTGTTGGCTGCAGCTCTGAACAACTGTATTGAACTGCACCCATACCACTCTCTTAAATTTCGCAACCAGGAAATCCTCCTACGTCCCACATTTCTCTTTCCCGAGATTTTTCCTTGGATTATGAGTCTAAGCAGAGAGTACTTTTCTCCTCTCATTATGTGGCCCAAATATTCCAGTTTTTTTTGCTGCACCGGCCCATCCATGTAAAGCCATCCTCATGGCATGTTCAGCATAAATGTTGAATAAGTTAAGTGACAACATGCAACGTTGCTACCTTTGACTAGAAAGGATACGACCTTAGAGATGTTCAGGCATAATCCCACGGATGGTAGCTTCGCACCGTTACCCGCTCAAGTAAGTGCGTCAACTAAATGTCCGAACCTGCGGTTCCTCTCTTACTGAGCAGGATTACTATCGCAACGACGAGTCATCAGTAAGGTAAAATTAAGCTGTCACGACGGCGTAAACTCAGCTCACTTCTCAAGCTCACTCTTCAAGCCAAAAGGATCAATATGCCGTGCTTTCGCAGTCCCTATGCATACTGAACATCATGATCAAACCATCTTTTGCCATTTTTTGCTGTATGCGAGGTTTCTGTCCTTTGACCACCCCAGTCAAACTCCCCGCCTGACAGTATCATCGAATGGAATCAGGCTGGAGGTAAGTTGACGCTCTAAACGAGGCACACGAACGCTAGCCGGCTATCCGAAAGGCAAGCCTTCGGATACCACGAAACCGATGAACGGCACAACGCAACGAAACGTCACTCTGTGCCATTGGCTCAAGAATACCGTGACAGTCGCCAGCTCGTGAGCAAACGACGCACGTCTTTCGCCTTACCGAGTAAGTAAAGAAACGATGAAAGGAGAGATCTATCTATCGATGATAAATATTACCATTGCTTCAGATGGAGCCACCTCTCTACATAACAATTTGATGGCGGCAGTTCAAGATTTTTCATATGTTTAGGAAAAAATATCTAACGTTTTATTTCCACTTTTACAGTTTGATATACGTTGTTATTAAAATTTTTTCCGGTTTTCTTACCAGTAGCTTTATTATAAGCCGGAACATATTATTTTTTCCTATTGGGACAAAACTGTACATTCAAAAATTGTCAAAAAATTCATAAGTATTTCTTATAATTATATCTTTATGCTGTAAAAAAATTAACAAAATCCTATGTTTGGTTTCCCGCTTTATACTTGGAAAAAGTAGTTTTTTGAGTTTTTTTCAAAAACGAACACATAAAGTTTGCTTAAAATTTGTCAAAGTACTTTTAGTCATCACATATACCTTCTCAAATTTTTTCAAATTTTTTGAATGTGGAGTTTGTCTTTTGGGGGGTGCAGATCAACTTTAAGATATTCGCACGTTTCAGATTGCAATTTAATAAAACAAACCAGGTGATTATAAACAGTTTCTGTCTGCTTTAACATTTATGTAAATAGACTTTTTACAATATTACCATTATACTACAATCCGATATTGGTTGATGAAATTAATACAGTTTTCCAAAAGTAGTACTATAATGTCTATAAATATTTATTTTTTAACAGAGTTCTTGCATGACTTGTTAATTTGTATGGCACGTTTTGGTTTATGTTTATTTATTGACTTTAATAAATAAATAAGTTATTGGCTTTTTGTTTCTATATATAAGTACCTACTACAACAATAAATAGTATAATAATTAACTCCTTTACTAAATCATGTACTCTATACAAGGACGAATGTATAAGCATTTACCGTAAACAAATATTCCCGTACTTGTTATTCGCAAAATACTGTTTCGCATTATATTGGAAAATTATGAAAATTTTGAAATCGCCACAATTTAAATTGTTGTTTCCACCAAAAAATCAAATTATATAAAATACTAAATTGTCATTATCAGAAGGTTGTGGATTAGTTTGGTATAACTTGTTCTTTTTTATGTGGTTATATGTTACCTAGATACAGATTGATAATATGTACTGCATAGGGTTGTCAGATATGTACTCGTATGAGAGAATGAGAAAAAAAAGTTATTTATGAGCAGAATCAGTCTAGAAACCTAGGATGATCTTAAGGTCCTAGAACAGAAGACTGGCAATTGGACATTTTGTTGCCTATCCTAACGAAAATCTTTCTTCAATTCAATTTACTTAATCCAATCGAAGATCAGTTCAATTGAGCTATTCAGGCACGTAATGAACAAAGCTATAATTGCCAGAATGATTTCCAATCTCCGATGGGAGCGAAACTTGAAGAAGAAGAAAGATAGCTTTACGTCTAGCCTATGCAATGACATCTTGCATGACATATCTCTTTCCTAGCCTTATCTGTTTACATCAGAGCTATTTTTGTGCAATTTTGACCTACTTCTTTCACTGTTGCAGACAGAAGAAATACAGGGAGAGTCATGAGGAACTTTACATACTTCTACCATATGTAGAGTCCCTCAGGGAGCATATCATGTGGCCACTAAAAAATGGCAACTCCTTTTCTTTATTAATTAACAGGAGTTCACATCGATACTCCATACCGAGCGGACGTTAAATGGTTCTCTGTTATCAACATTCGACCGGTTTTCTCGATTTGAACAGATAAATGTGAAGTGATTAAAAAGCAATCAATTAGTAATAGACTTAAAAATAATAAACTCATCAAATTAAATTTAAAAACAATACAGTAATTTATTTATAATGTTTCCAACGGGAAATGGACCAGGATTCGACAACTACATAGTTAGCCAACAAATACAAAATGTAAACAGCCAGCCATTACCAATCCAGTATCCATCAAACCAAATGAATTGTTACCCACAAATGCAGATTCCAAACA